ATGTTCTCATTTCCCGGTCTACTTTCAATGGGCTCGTTCACGACCGCCCCTGCCGTGTCCGCAAACCACTCGTCGTCCTGATCGTTCTCCTCATCCAACACACCCAAGAAGAATTTCAGATCAAAACTTGAGTTCGCGACACCACTCTTGTTTGCTTTTGTAATGTTGAATACATCATTTTTATTTATATCAACAGCGCGAGGGTTTTCAGTAGTAACAGTATTTTGCAACAGATCTGCAGGAGGATCAACAGGATTCGCTTCAACACCGAATTTTTTTCCGGTGAGTGAAGGAAAACATTTGTCATCAGAGAGTATATTTTTCACGGTGCGTTTAGGAGACTTCATAGTGCCGCTCGCGTTGGAGCTAGACCTTCGGTCTTGACCTGATATTTTTGAGAAGAAGAAAGCTTGAGACTTACCAGCTAAGCGAACATTTCTCTTCAGTGGCTGATTGTTATTGCCGTTCTTGCTTTCTCTGTAGGACGAAGCCTTGCTCCTGCCAGTTGGACGATTAATAACATCATTTGTTACTGCAGGTCCCACTGAAATACTCGCTTCCGATTCTATTTTACTCTCTGTTTCTTGTAAGATAACTGACCCTGTGCAGCGAGAACCTATTTCCATTATATCCGTTTTATTATTTTCCGCTGTACCTGCTGTCTCGGAGCTTTTGCTACCGTCATTATCAATGCCAATTCCTGAATAAATCTGCACTTTTTGTTTCTCCGCTTCGAGGATTAGATTATTGCCAGTGATAGCGCAGTTATTCGACAGCTGCTCACTAGCCTCGAATAAAGGTTCCCCTGTGACACCGTCAGCGCCGTCAACAGCCTTGCTTGTGGCCACCATGTGGCTTGGCGCGTCTCCTGAAGAGCCGTTACCATCCATTTCATCTTTCTCCTGGCCACGAACTGACGGAATTCCAATTTCAGAAATAATTATTTTGTTACTTAAATGATTTTCTTGGATGTGACCAGACGCGTCAATAGTCTGCCTCGTTCTAAAAGCCGAGGAAAGTTGGTCCTGGTTTTCTTCTGCGCCACGCGCCTTAACGAAGTTTTTATTGTTGTCAACGAAGCATGGCATGGCATTGGTTCGTTCGTCATCTGACTCGTCGTTAGCGTCTGACGCCCATATGGAGCTCAGCTCCAGTGCGTTAAGCTGCACTTCATCCAGAGCATTTCCGCCGTGGAGTTGAATTCTGTAAACAAACCGAAGAGTGTAAATTTCCGCGCTGAAATTAATCGTTGTGATTCCTAGATGATGCTCTCAAAATTTATGTTTTCATTTTTCGAGCACAATTCAACATGGAGGATAGAAAATCTTACCTCCCATCATAGATGCTTGCTTGGCTGAGCTCACTCGGCAACTGGAAAAAGGCAAGGGAGTATTTTTAACATTAGAATTAACTGATGTAAACATGGAAATGAATAAAATTACTTAAATTTAGATGTAAACACCAGACTGGCTGCACGACAAAGACACAGTCACCACCAGACGGGCTGCACGACAAAGACATCACCACCGGACGAGCTGCACGACAAAGACACAGTCACCACCAGACGGGCTGCACGACAAAGACATCACCACCGGACGAGCTGCACGACAAAGACATCACCACCGGACGAGCTGCACGACAAAGACATCACCACCAGACTGGCTGCACGACAAAGACATCACCACCGGACGAGTTGCCCGATAAAGACATCACAACCGGACGAGCTGCACGACAAAGACATCACCACAGAGTATAATATTCTTGATATTTTTAATAATGGTCATATCGTTCACATAATTGAATCAAGTTAACGTATTACAAGCAATAACTGTTAATAATAATAATAATAAATAATGATATTAAAATCCCTAATTCCCAAAGACAGCCTTCAAGAGGATTTTAGAAGCCCTAGTAACTCATATGCTCATATTAATGTGGCAACCTACCGACCTGTCAATTTAATATGTAAGGATTAAAAGTCAAGCATAGACTGGAAATGCTTACTTCAATAGGTCAAAGATAAATCTAGTATATATTCATGAATAAATTAAGGCATCTTTTGTACTCCGTCACGTGATAGAGTCGTGTTATACAAGGCGCAGTCCACACGCGCAACAATCTAAAGACATCCTCATAACCTTATACAGGGTGGAGCGCGGTAATTTACTGATTTGGGAATAAAATAAAAAAATTATGATCACTAGAAAAACTTATTTGATATTTGAATTATAGTGAACAATAATGGAATTTTTAAATTACATGGTTTTAAATAGTGTATCTAGCAAATGTCGACCTTTGCATTCCACACACTGCTGCATACGTTTTCTGAAGTTTTCATGAACTCTAACAAGCATGCTCACTGGTATTTTGCCAATTTCACTTTCAATATTGTTCCTTAGGTCTTCCAAGGTGTTGGGGCGGTTGATATACACCTTAGACTTCAGGTAACCCCAAAGAAAAAAAATCGCATGGAGCTAAATCTGGTGAGCGCGCTGGCCAGGTCACATCACCCCTCAAAGAGATAAGCCGTCCAGGACACATTTGCCTCAAACAATACATGGTAACCCTCGCTGTGAATGCAGTGGCACCATCCTTTTGGAACCATGTATCCTCTAATTCCATTGCCTCAAGAGCTGGCTGAAAATAATCCTGTATCATAGACAAGTACCGTACGGAGTTCACAGTTATGGCACGACCGTTATCCTGAAAAAAGTAAGGCCCAATGATGCCTACTCGCGATATGGCGCACCACACAGTGACGTTTTGTGGTGTTTGTAATCCTTCTCTCAGGTCCCCTTCGTAGACATGACACATTCCCAGCTGTTCTGAATGCATTTACCAATTTACAATTGATTGCCGTCCAGGAACACGTCTGCGTGAAGGAACAGCGAATCGTGAACGAAAAGCACGCTGCACAGCAATGATCGAGTGGGCATTTGAAAAATACGCTTCTACACAACATGACCTCTCCTCACGTGTCCACTGCATGATGGCAACTGAGAGCCAGACGAATACAAATTTCCCGCCATCCACTGTAAGCCACGACCACTCTCCTCTGTCTTCGACCGTCAGTGCCGCCACAGCATGCAGTGCAAATAAACAAATTACCGCGCTCCACCCTGTACATCAGCTGCAGCTCATCTGATTAATGAGAACTCACGGTCTGCGTGAGCCCCGGTCTGGACTCGGGCTCCTCGTTGAAGGCGGCGCGGTAGAGGGACCGGTAGTAGGAGGCAGGCTCGGGGGCAGGCTGGGGAACAGGTTGGGGGACAGGTTGGGGAACATGTTGGGGGACAGGTTGGGAGGCAGGCCAGAAGACTGGGCAGACCTGGGGGAACTCGGCCGCCAGATGCGAAGGTGCAAGCTGCAGCTCTGAAACAGGATTTTAATTGTATCAATTTATATCACCTATAGCACTCATGATGACATGTTTTACGACAGTATGTACTCATAATTAGTAATAAATCTTACAATTACCATGATGTACTGATGGATCCATCATTAGCGGGACAGAGCGAAGACTCTCTCCTTGCTTCGACGAATTTAATTTGTCGCTGCAGTGAGGATCAAATGCTCCGATTGCATTTATGGACTTCATTTCTTGGGTATTGTGGCGCACAGTTGAAAATTTTTCGGGAACCATCGTATCTAACAGCCGATCAGGTGCTGCTTCCGTGCTGGACTGATGCGACAAACACGATGCGCTGTTTTTTGCATCGCTGGCGAAATATAAATTGCTTATGCATGCGGTGTTATCGGAGATTCTATTGAAGTTATTCGAAATACAAATTTCTTCTGGTGGGTTTCGGTCGTTCACATTAGGCCATGGATTAAATGGCTGAGCAATCTCGGATTGAGGCTCGAATTCGCCTTTGCTTCTTGCAACTTTAAATTTGAGCTGATGAGCTACATTGTAAGATGTGCCGTCATGGCTTGGTTTTGTAATTCTATTTTGGTTAGCACGTTTTTCGTGAGATCTTTGCAACATTTTAGCTACCAGCTTGGCCAAGGGAGACCGCAACGTGAATATTTGCTTCTGAGCTTCCAAAGGACTCATCGTTGGTGTGATGATTTTATATTGCAACATATCGTTCGCTGATAATGATTCCATCTTTATTGCAGTCAAATCAGCCTTCGTAATCTGTAGATATCAAATAATACGGCGACATTAGATTTAAGCCCTATAAATCATAATATATTTAATATAATTACTTGTGTTTCAATATAACGGTCATAGTCGAGATCAAAGTGAAGAAAAGTACTTACAATACAACAATAATAACTGGAACATTCATAAAATTTAATAATTCACTAAGCAAGTATAAACCTCTATGAATTACTTACTGTTACTCTTCCTAGACTTGCCTTCTATCAAGGAACCAATTCAATGAGTTAGAGAAAACTGTTGGGCTACTTAGTAGAAACAGTTTGAATTACGGGATTACAGGTCGCCAATACCTAAAATACACTATTTTTGCTCAATTAATAGGAATGAATCATTAAATGAAAGAATTTTCAGACTTATAACGCAAATAAACCACCTTTCGGAAGAAACCTATGACGAACTATCATTCCTCTTTCTGCATTTTGATTAGTGTGAAGTCTAAGGGAAACACTTTCATGTAATTTAAGTTTGATTCAAACACATGAAAATTTAACAATTTAAACCGACATGAAAATTGCAAATTGTATGTTTTTTGAACACTTTTATATCATAATGTGAAGGTCTAATGTTTCAAAATATATTCATAGGTATAGTAGTGTTCATTTCCTAAAATTTACACATTGATATAATTTTTACAATGACACTACTCTCATACACAGAAACGCAACTACAGAGTAACATACTGATTTTTTTTAATGTTAGCCCTATGAATTCGCTCATCAAGTAAGTAAATATTGTATAAAATTTTATTCGCCCACAACCGTCGAGGTGTGGTATTATTTTGGGGTAAATTTAGCTCTCTTCATGAAGAAAGATCAGCCGTTGTTATGTTTGTTTCGTACATGCGTAGAAAAATAAGCTACCTACTCTGCAGCAATGCTGCTGCATTGTGTTCGGTGTTGCTAGGCTAGAATACGGTTTAAAAATGCGTCGCAAAAATTAACCAACGATTTGCATGTTAGATATCTTTTTATGATACTGAATTGCATGAATAGGATACAGGGATCCCACTTCCTTCTCGGGGAGTTACAATCCCTCAAATCTTCTGAAAATGAAGCACTTGATCACAGTAAGTTTTTATTTGAACCACTAGAATAATTAGTAATTTTGTTACTATAGACTTTGTGTAAAGACTGTACATTTATAGATTTATTTACTGCAATAAACTTTATTGCATTTGGTTTAGTATACATTTATCTAATTACCTATTTATGAGTTATGACTATTGACTAAGTCAGGCTATCTAAATTAATTTTGATTTGTGAGTTTGTGACGCTGATGGTTTCAAATTCTAATTGATAAATATTTACTTGGATATCCAAGTCTTCCAGTTCCAAGACAAGCTGGAATATCAGGAAGAATTTTGTAAAAAATGCAGGGAAAGTGATTATTTTGCACCAATATGGAATATGAGCTGGAATTTTCTTAAAATTGTGGATAAAAAAAAAGATTGCTTAGGGTCATGGTGGCAGGGAATTATTGTGAGTACTTATGCGTTTGCAAGAGCATCGCCCGGTCCGGCTCAGCGGGGTGGGGGGTGTCTCTTATACACATCTAGATGTGTATAAGAGACAGGTGTTGGGGCGGTTGATATACACCTTAGACTTCAGATAACCCCAAAGAAAAAAATCGCATGGGGCTAAATCTGGTGAGCGTGCTCCCAGATCCCATCACCCCTCAAAGAGATAAGCCATCCAGGAAACATTTGCCTCAAACAATTCATGGTAACCCTTGCTGTGTGTGCAGTGGCACCATCCTGTTGGAACCATGTATCCTCTAATTNATATCTACATTTATGTCTCAATACATTTTGCTCTAAAACGCATATTTTTTATAGATATTAGATGTGTATAAGAGACAGCTTGTATACTATGTCTATCACAGTCTATAGGATTTTGAATCGCTGCATGCATTCAAATTCAAATTAGGTCCACCCACACCCCACGGCCAGTGTAGCTGTAGCTGTCAGCTCGCTCAGAAGTGTGAAAGCTTTTGCTGGTGAAGGTGTGTTATACAATCGGTCCATAAAGAAGTGTTGATCGGTTCAAAATGACATAAGAACCGGTTCTTTTGAATAACCTATGGATTGGCACCATGCTTAGGGTAAAAACACCATATTCTGACACTTTAAGGACGTAGGGTAAACGCGGTATATTCCGACATCGTAGGTAATTCCGTCACCTCTCCAGCTTTTCCTTTATAGGGTAAACGTGGTATATTCCAAATCCGACACATTTAGGACGCATCGAGAAATGAAAAACTATAAAAAAAACGTATGTGTTACGTAAGTTCTGTTGCCTTCACATGACTCTCAAATATTTTCAAATCTTAATATTTTCCCACCAGATGGCCAAGACCTAGTGTTTTTGCAGTATTTCAAATACAAGTTTACTTGAATGATTCCTAATATATTCACAGACGTATTTAAAAGTCTCAAACCATAATATTCTTCCTATAAAAACAGTTATTCACTATTTGGTAGAGCAAGTTCAACTGTCAAATTTGACACATTTTTCGATGATCTTACCAGGTGGCATGCATTGTCTCTCTTTGGATCTCAATATTTTCCCACTAGATGGCCAAGACCTACGTAGTGTTTTTGCAGTATTTCGACACGCAAATGTATGACGTCACCATTTCAACCATCAATGAACGCATGGAACTAAAACAAAGCTTAATGTAAAGGAAAAACTAGAGAAGTGACGGAATTACCTACAATGTCGGAATATACCGTGTTTACCTATGTGCAACTCGAGATCTGTTTGCTTTATGTCACTCTCCAAACACCGCACCACCGTCAACCGGGGCTACTCATGACGGGTGGGGTAATTTGGGACAGTCCTCCAACATGGCATAAAACTGTTTTAGTAGCAAAACTAATTGGAATATTGCAAAACTAAATAATTCATAGTGGCAAAGCAGAGAGTTTTTTAGACTCTCCCTTGAGTTCATTTTTGAGTCCTATCAATAAAGTATCCTGGAAACCAGCATTATCATACATAAGAAATTGGTTTAAATCTTGAGTAAATGAGGAAATTAAAAATGAACTGATTCTGAAAAAGCTCTGGTTTGCCACTATGCTAAATATAGTGGTCAAAGTGGTGTAAACGTCAACATTTTTCCTATCTATGTAGCATTAAGCCTAAAGGAAGTTCAAAAATACTACATTCACTAGCTTTGAAAAATTCCTGAAAAAAATAGTGAAAAACGATATTTTGAAAAGTTACTTCTGCTAAGGCCTGAACCCTGAAGTAATAAAATATTTTGCCATATTAAAAAATTTTGCCTAAAAAAAAGTGGCAAACAAGTGTCAGCATGATAACTTTATTTGCAGAATTTATATACCTCAATCCAGAAAAAAATGGTGGCCAGGGGCTATTCGGGTCACCCCCATCCCCAAAAACGTATTTGCAGTAGAACCTCAGTTAGCAAAGGCTTCATTTAAGAAAAAAAATTGATTAAAAACAATTAATATTGATTACATTTACCTCGCTCAGCAAAAAAATTTCACTTATCAAAAAATTAGTGCATCATCGGTCATCACAAAATTGTGCATAGAATGTCATATATAGAATTGTGCACCAGGCATCATAGAATGAAAAGTAATTGACCTAAGGGGAGCGTCTACCCTAAAATTTATCTCGGCTATTTACAGACAGATCACTTTGAAATTTGGTACACATTTGTAAAACAGAAATCTAAGACTTTTTTGTTCGTGTGAATTTTTCGAAAAAAATGAAAGAAAACGTGAAATTCTTAGAAAACAGCCAAAAAAGGGGGTACCGTAGAAATCCTACTTCTCCTAGGGTTTTAGAGCTACAACATCAAAACACATATCATTCAATGCGTAAAGACCATACAGCATCTATACGTAATTCATCGTAAACGTTTTTTGAAATTCTCATTTTTGTGGGTGTGGCGGCATATTCTTTTGCAAATCGAACGGTATATGTCTCATTGTTGTAGCTTCAAAACTCTAGGAGGAGATAGGTTTTCCGTGACATAAGTGTGAATGTTGAGGAGAGTGCGACAAAGTCCCGCGCGCACCACAATATGCGCTCAATGTAGCATAGGTACCAAACTAAACGTTTCTGGAGCTTGATTCTACTCAAGGATGATGGGAGCAAGTAGCAACTACATGCGCATCTCTCCACACTCAGGATGATGTATGTTTTCAGTGAATTTTCCCGCGCATTTTTACTTTTTTTAAGCTATTGCTGTGCACAGTTTGCGCAATGTAATGAAAATTGATTATCTTCGCGCACGTGTTCGCGCAATCCCGGCCATCTTTTTTTTAGAAGAAATTTTCTCCAAAGTCATATGGCAACACTGAACACCGTCTGTTTACATTTCGTATGTATAACAGCTGCAGTTTACGATTACCGTACGTTCCGTATCCGACAAGGCGGACAACCAGAAGAGTCAGAAGTAACCCGGACATGTCTTACATTTTATTATTGTCAGTTCGACTCGTGTAGTCTATATACTCGCGTATATTGTTGTATATTGTTGAGTAAACAGCTTTCTAAAGTACGGCGCACGGCGCATTTTTTACCAACGTAGTACGGTGCACCGCGCAGGTCGTTAAAATGACAAAATAAATTCCCGCTCACCTGGCACATCTTCCTGACCATGGGCATCTCTCCCTACAAAGCCCGGAGGCACACTAAGTCAGACCTCACAAAAACACTATATTTGTAGTGGTGGACAGCGAATTATCTCATATCTAATTACTGAAAGAACTCCCCCCTCGCCCCCCTTTCATGAAGTGTCATGTACGTAAAAATCGATGTACAGAGATGGTAGTGGTACCATTGGATAGGCCAGAATGTCAGCTTTAAGATGAGACTAAACACGTAACTGTGCACAACTCAAGTAGACACTATATATAAAGAGCTCACCAGCTAATTAGTTCCTATCTAATTACTTGAAGAACTCCGTAGAGAGATGGCAGTGGTACCGTTGGATAGGGCAGAATGTCAGCTTTAAAATTAGTATGAAAACCAAAAAAGTAAAAATTTTGAATTTTAGGGTAGACGCTTCCCCTAAACTTTATTTCTCCAAAACATATGATGGTTGTCACTAAAACATTCCTTTCTGTTTCAAGTATGTTTTTCACGATCTTTTTTTATAGTAAATTCACTTAACCCAATTAAAATGGTGTGAAATTACAAGCCATCCTGTAAGCTTACAGATACAGAAAAAATGCTATAAGGCTGCTGATGTGAAGCTTGCAGTGGACAAGGTTGTTGTAAATGCTCAATGGCATGTTCATGGATACGATAATATCATCAAATTGGAAATGCACTATGCTTAGGTGAAGAATGGTTTTGTCAAAAATATGAAATTGGCAAGCAAATCTTGAACCCTACAACAGAGAAAAAAATCTATTGAAGCAATCAGCAGGCTAGAGGGGTTATTTTATTTAATATCCTGTATGGGTTTATTAGAAGTGCTAGAAGCGAATCATGACAAATGTTTTTCCAAATGCTGAGAATATTGCATTTAATTCATGAGATTGGTCAATAAATTTATTGCATTACATTATCCAAAGTAAGAAAATTGAAATTACAGGTTATTTTCTTGAATCATGACAATTTTTTACCAAATTTTTTTAATGCCACCACTTCAGAATAGTTTTCCTAGCTTTGGGGACATTTTTATTTGTTCATGATATGAGTCAGATATTGAATTGAATGGAGGAAAATTACATTATTATTACTGGAAGACTTTGATTTGTGTTCCTTGCCTGTGAATATTGAAATTTTATTGTAAAAAAGCTCATATCTTCTGATACTAATACCTACTTACTTCAAAGATTTGTTGTATCCTTTTTCTGTTATAGGATTTTGATAAGTTTTGTCTGTTTGTTATTAGGAAATCATGAAAGGCATAGTCTTGGGCTTCTGGCACAGCCTGCGTGGGTTTTACCGATGGTATTCTTATGACCAGCCCAAGCTTGGTATTGCATCTCAAAGAAGAGATGGCTCTGAATTGGATACCTCAACACATCAGGTATGGTTTGCATGAGATGCTAAAGTAAGAGGAGAGCATTATTCCCTGTAGGACCGGTGGACTCCTTCTCCTCACTTGAAGTAAATTCTGATGTTAAAAACAAAATTGATATTAGTTTGATTTTCAACAGTGTAGTTGATTTTTTTTTATTTTACTTCTGTCCATTTTTTAATAGTTAATACTGAAACTTTCAGTAAATTTTGTTTTAGAAACAACACAAGTGAGCCTTCCTGTGCCATGTGTTTCATGGCATTTCATTTTATGTTTATTGCTGTATTACCAGTAATTTATTCTGCCAATAGATCCAACTAATGTTCCTCCTTAATTTTCATGGCCTTGAAATTGGTGTGATAAATCATTCATGTGTCAAATGAAACTGCATTGCTGTTATTGAAATAATGTAAACATTTTTCTGTTTAGACAAGTCAACCCCTCACAAGCCTGGCCCTCAAAAAACTCCATTCCAAAGAGCAACATCACACTTCATCAGCTGATGCAACAAATAAAAAGTGAGTATATTGATACAATGGTATTTTGTGCTGATCATATTCCTGCAAATTTTGTCAAGCATCGCAATTTTGTCCCTTAGATTTTTATGTAGATTGTAATGGCTATGATTGATGATACTTCTGTCACTCTTCCATGCATACATCCATGTTACTTACGGTATATATTTTTCGGTTGATTCTGTTTAATTGAGAAATTCCTTCCATTTCTGAAATACTGTATATTTTTCCAAAAATTTTAATGCTAACCTTTTCTGTTGTAAATTCGGTAAAGAAGATTAGAAGACCATATACATACTGAATGTGCAAGAAGCTAAGTATTTCACTAATGATTAATAACATCATGGAGCTAAGTTACATTGTCTCTTTACAGGCCAAAGCTGGGTACGACACTCTACGTGACCATGTCCTACAACATCCCCTTGGTCCTGGGCTATGTTGTATGGGCTGTTCTCAAAGTGTTACCGTACAGGCTGGTGTCATCAGACTACTTCTTCTTCTGCAACCTCCTGAACATATTCATGCAGCTCTGCCTGTTCCTCTCCCGACTCTTATTTGCCAAGCTCATCAATGTCCTGCTTCAAAATGTAAGGTTTCATCCACCAGGTCACCAACATGTATTCTAAAGATTTTTTTAATGTTTTCATTGGAATAAGTGTAAACCAACTCTCTTTGAACAGACCTTAACCCAGTTTATTCTGTCTCTTATCTAATGCTCAACTTCGTGATATTTTTTTATTACTACAGCAAACTGCAGACCACGTGTATAAGCAAGCCTTGGGTCGCACAAGGGCCACAGGATATGCTCGTACTGGCAGCGACTTGTACGCGACCCTGCAGCTCCAGATCATCTATTACCTTTCGGTACTCTCACGACTTTGCCTTGCTTATTGAGCTTGCCCAGTTTTGTTCGGTCATAGCATTAATGTTCAGCTAAAGTCAGGGTAAATGTGTTGAGCCAGTTGCTCACTTGACTTGTATAAATTCTCCAATTTTGTACTGTTGAAATGACGTTTTGCTCTGATTCTGCCTGGAATTATATTCAAGTAATTAACAATCAGTTATCCCAAAGACTGTTCTCATTGCAATCCTGACATGCATTACAGCTGTCCGTGGCAAGCATGATGCTGGCGTGGTTTGGTGTGATAGGCCACGTGGTGTCCGTGTTCCTGTCAACGCCGTACTGGTCGCTGTACTCCTTCGACTACTGCTGGTACTACCTGGGCGTGCCCTTCCAAGACCGCCTCACGTACATCGAACGCAACTGGCCTTATTTTGTTGGCTTTGGGCTGCCTCTTGCTCTCATTGATATCTTCATGCATCCACTTTTTAGGTGCGTTATTGTCTCGCCTTTGAAATTAACCTGCCACTTTTCATATAGCCAGTATCTATGTAGCAAATGCGGGCTATCTTTACTTGGAATAAATTTGCGCACCACGCCGGACGTGGTAATGTATGTTGATTGCGAGCTTTATCCATGCACCATCATTCAGGTACAGTAAAAAGATTTTGATAATGTGAAATGACTGGACTTCCCTAGAAGACTAAATAACTTATTTACTGTTGTTAGAATTGCATGGAACGTTCTTATGAATTTATTTATTTTTGTCTTTGAGTCGTAATTGTTTTGCTTCATGCTGTTCATATTGCCAGTTAACAAAGTGTAATACTACTATATCTATAGAGCTATAACTATAGCATAACATTGTATTATTGAACGCTTTAATTGCCCCGCAGCTCGTCCCTGCCTCTGTTCCTGCTCCCATTCTTCATCATCAGCGCTGTGGAGGCCACAGCTCTTGGCAATAAAGACCTCGTATTCTCAGGGTAAAAATCTGGAAAACCTCATTTTAATTGCTCATCAAATTAACTTTTCACTGATCTATGTTAGCGTCGCGACCCTTTGCTTTACTGTAGTAGCAGCACTCCACTGTAGCAGGCCGCAAACTAGTGCAACTATTGTGTTTATTACTTAAGTTCATCGCTTAGTGTAGTGCACAGGACATAACATTAAGGTGCCTAATTAAGTACAACTAAGGTAGTGGCTTCAGGTAGTGTCCTGAACCTACCAGTATCGCAACTATTTAACCTAATATAAGCTTAATGTCTAGTGCGGTACTGAAGCATTTACATAACATAAGCTTAACGTCTAGTGTGGTACTGAAGCCCTCAAACCAGCGTAGCTATTCAAGCTTAACTAAAGCCTAACCGCTAGTTTGGTGCACACAGGAGCGCGCTGCACTTCTTCAGCCTGCCCATCTGGCTGTCAGATGCCCTGCACGGCGGGCTGGTGGACCTGCCCCGCGTCGTGCAGCGCTGCGTGCGCTGGTACCTCGGCGCCGCCCCTGCGACCACAGGACGCTCCTCCTCGCAGGACTCCACCAGCCGCGCCTCCACGCCCCTCCACCCCAGCACCAGGTGCCGCCTCTGGCTGGATCACGTGGAACATTTATATGAGACTCATTTGAGCTTCTCACTCCTCTCAAAATACTATCTATTTGGTTTATTGGTTAATAATATTTTTTCCTATCAATAATAGCTTGGCGTTCAAATGTCATGCCTAATCGCTTCTGAAAGATTTTGATCGTCACATGATGAATCTATATTGTAAATTTTATGGGCTCTATAGTGTAAATTTGAATGAACATTAACTTCTATTACTCCGTAGCATCTACGTAAGCCATTATTTTTAGAATTTGAGTGAGAGAATCGTTTGTTGACAGCCTGATTCTTTTGTTTATAAAATGCATAGCTTCTTATCATATTGCGTGGTGGTTTTGATATCTTCCAGAATCTGAACCCAATTTCGACTTTCATTATTCCAGTTCGTTGTCTCTTTGAATTATTAACTTGTCGAACTCCATGCAGTTTTCCCTCATTTCTCCTGCCATTTAATCCATTTTGTATTATTTGCAGCTTTGGCAGGCTGTTGTTACATTAACATCATTGTTCCTCGTGCCAGGGACGTGTCTCGCTCGTCTCACTCGTCGTCAGTACGGCGGTCAGTGACGCCCGACGTGAGTGTCGGGGCTGGGGGGCGTCGGCCCCCCGATTCCCGTGGAGGTGTCAGGACGCCTCTTGTTGAAGAGTCACCGCCTGAAGCTCCTGCCGCGCGACCCTTGACGCCTAGCCAGGTCAGCAGCTCCTGCTTCCTTCTTCGAGCTTGCTTATTTCATCCAGACTTGGATGCATCATTCAGCCTTGGTTGCTCTATTCAGCCTTGGTTGCTCTATGCAGCCTCGGTTTTCTTATTTAGCTTTGGTTGCTCTAATCAGCTTTTGTTCTTTTATTTAACCTTGTTCGTGTAGTTAAACTTGCAATTCACAGCGTTAGACGGCAATGCTTACAGCGCATTAGAGATCAGACTCAGTAGTGTTCTCTTGTGTTCAGTTAAACTTAATTACTACCGTAGTTTAGTGCACACATGAGCGCGCTACACTTTTTCAGCCTGCCCATCTGGCTGTTGGATGCGCGGTGGATTTAGATGTCACCATCCGACGATCAGTCACGGCAGTTGTGCGCTCATTCGTAATTACGGTAGCAGTGACTTCAGGTATCTATCTTGACAGGAATAATATAATTCGCAAATAAGATAGTAGGGACTTCAGGTATCTTGACAGCAATAATACAATTTGGATTTATGTGTGCAGCATCTGAAGGTGGCGTCGTGGCTGCGTGAGAGCGCTGCTGCTCCTCAAGGTGCGCAGTCATCGGACGCGTCGCCCTGGCTGCGCGCTGCCTCCAGCGCCCCCCGACCACCGCCCTCGCTGTCGTCCACGCTCACCGCCGCCACCGCCGTCGCCCCCACCGCCCGCCGGCGCAACCTGCGATCGCCCACTGGACAAGATTTGTACTGAAATTATTACGGAACTAATCTCTACGTAGGATCATATGGCTTGTAGCGAAACTTAATTTTTTAGCTTCCCTGAAGTATGAGAACTTCGATCGTTTCAATCAGAATGAAGTTTTTATTGTAAGTAAGTGAACTAAGTATCTTAATATTGTATGTGTTGTTAAATTTCGAACGTGACGTTAGACAGCAGACTTTCAGAAACTGTTTATCTCTATGCTGGGTCTATTTGTTTTATAAAGTGAAGCACATTTTTTTTAATGTGTCAAAGCTTCCCTAATTGGAATGTTAATTTCTTCCAAGCACTCAACGAGGAAAACTTTTATGATGTCAGTATTTTTTTCCAATGATGTATTTTTTGAGGTGTAAATATTTTGCTGCTTCCTGATTGAGTGGGATCAAGATTTGACCCCACAAGATGCAATTTTTTTTTGCCAATGTGGCATCTTAAAGTGTTATATATGAAGTACGCTCTCTTGAACTGGACGACCGAGATGTCTTTTATTGGTACGAATGCTCCGCTGTTGACTGTCCCATGTGTGCCCACAAATTTCATGTCACATATGATGACTGTCAAACAAAAATTTCTTCTACTGCAGCGCACTTCTACTAAACCACATCAACGCGACATTGATTCATTTTTTCTTTGCTGATATCTGATCCTAATAGCAATGTTTGATGCGTTTTTGCTAGCGTTTTTATTGCGAGTTGGTTTGTAATAACGACTGTTGTGATAAACGCTATTTTTCCTAATGTTGATGACAGTCTTATGGTCAATTGATCCCATACTATAACAACTGAATGCTTTTATGTACATTAAATTTTCGTACCATGTCCAAAACCTTTCAATTTTTGATTGAACAGATCAAACGCCAGACGAATAAATAAGTAGTGCATGAATTATTCTCGAGCACTAGTGTATTGAACGTGCCTTACTTTTCATTACGATTACAACCCCTCATTGTGAACCTCAGTCATTTACAGTAAAAATATTTCTCCTTTAAAAGTCAAATAATGCTAACCAATCAGTTCCTGAATGAGGTCCATTTCCAGATTACTCCTCACGCAGCCTGGCAGGAGAAAGCTGTCATTTTCAATGAATTTTACTGCATTGGTAATTTCCGTGCAAGCTTGTGACTCTATAGACGCTGATGCCCTAGACTCGTAGCAGCTGTTATTAAGGAACATATTAGCCTTGTGTTACTCGCGTCATGAAGATATTTAGTTGTTCAATTGATTGACCACTTGAACAACTCGTTACCAATTCGTAATCATGACCAATTGATTGTTTCATGATTGATTGGACGTGAACAAATTTAGTTGTTCATGGTCATGTCGAGTTGGGTATTCATCAAACATTCACATACATGTTTGAATGGCTGTCGATGCGAGCAAGGGATACATGTGCGAAGCGTGCTCGCCTCTCCAGATATGTCGAGATGCTCATTGTCTGTACTAAGCCCTCGCGCACTTGAGCTCCGCGTGGCTCTCTTTGATTACCGTTTTGTAAACCATTTTGGTCTGGTAATTTGATTTTTATATTTTTAATTTTCAATCCTTTTTCTATTTACATTTATTTTCAATTATTTTGCTTTTTGCTCACAAAATTTTCTTCTTATTTGGCTGCCATGTTGTGTGGACTTTTGACCGAACGTTTTATTCATTGGAAGCTTTCTCGATTGTTGATCTAGCATAATTTTTTTCTTTAGATTGATACGACTACGTATATATTTTTGAAGTTCTATTGTATTCGACGCTTGATTCGATTAAGAAGGTGCTGAATCGAGGAGAAACGGGGCAGAGCAGAGACGAGGCTGAGAGAAGTCCTGCTGTAATCTAAACTTCGTAGAGTATCTTAGCAGAGCAGACCATATTGTCGTTAGTTGAGTATAGCAACTAATAGTGATTTGTAGAGTAGAACAATCTAATTTTAATTTGTCACAGTTGATTGTTACGACTACCGCCGAGTTTCTGATGCCGCGTCCATTAAAAGTTTTTATAATTCTTTAACATTTTTTTGTTGTGAGCTCTTTAGTTTTTACCAAAAGCGCCGTGGTGATCAGTCACCTTAGACGACGCCTCTTCTTTGAGCGCCAAAAGTTACGAGGGTAATAATGTCACTCAGATACAGTTTAAACTCGACTGGATTCTAATTGAGTGTTCAACAATTTAGCCTTTTCCTATGCCATTTCTGATGCAATTTGACGACGCCAGGTTAATTACAAATCCGTGGTATCTTTCGAATGTGCAATAGGAGGCTGAGTTGCTATGGAAAAAGTTCCTGAGTTGCTAATAGGACCGATCTGAGTTGCTATATCATTTGTGTTGCACTAATGCCCTAAAATGCATTCTCAATACCATTTATAAGAGACAATCATTTCTATATGCTTGAGAAAAACGAAGAAGTCGCATCGAAACACTGCCTGATATTTTTTCGAATTTAATTAATTTTCTTGCGTGATGTGTTTACCATAAATTAAATTAATTGGTATTATTCCTGGGCATCTGCTACTGGTGGTTTATGTTAGGGATTTGTGACGCTAATGTCACTACTTACTTAAGGGCCTGCTTATATTACAGTTCATCTACACAGTACTAATATTATTTATATATCCTTTGCAATGTGCTAATATTGTTCAACATGTTCGCAGTGATAATATTACTGATAATTATCACAGTAGGTAGTAAGAGAGAGTGAAGACACTCTCGAACTTCCTTAGTTTAATCAACGTATGAAAATGTATATCAATGATGCTTGTCACATGTGCATTGTGTTAAATCTACACTCGTTTGTGTTCAAGACAATGCTATGGTTTTTACCTTACCAGGAGGTTTAGTTTTTTCAACTTTGTCTGTCTTCATTATATCAAGCGTGTCAGGTTTTCTCGGCAATCGAATATCCTATTAGTGTGTTGTTACTGCTGCTGAAGAAAACATGCGCCCTTCCAGATCAACATTGATCATTTGACAATCAAAAACTATTCTAAAACTTCATATCGCCTGCTATAGGCTTCAGGGAATCACGGGAAATTGTTAAGCCTCAATGGCATTCAATGCTTGCATTTATCGCCGTATTTTGAACTGCACTCCAAACTTTTGAACTGCACTCCGTATCCCTCCTTATATTCTGCGACATCGGCACGCCCAACACCAGTAGCCTCGGACCCATGCATGCGAGTGCTTCCGACATATCTTCCTTCTCGGGCTTGGCCGTTCTAATTCTTGTTATCAATTTACTTATTCTCAGACAAGTGAACTCTGCCGTCGCCGCTCCAACGAACTTCAGAGTTCAGATCATTGATAATATAGTGAAGAATGATTCTTATTCTTCTGCGTATTTCTGCTTTTTTGCTCCATTAGATCTAGGTTTTTACGTGAAGTTCAGTGCGTAATTAGTGTATTCATTTCGTGTTATGTTGATATTTTAAGCGTGTGTGTTGGTTTTCTCGTATATATCTCATATCTAATGGTAATACTTAAGACATGGTGTACTGTATGATACTCAGATATAAGGAAATATTTGCAGCTTGTATTTTCTGAGACTACTGTTTGAGTAAGGATGTATATTTACCTGTATATAAGGCTATTCAACTATGACTGCACAACACATAATGCGTGTTGTAGGCTGTACGTGTGATATGGTCGCCTCTACAGCTCTCTGACCAACACTGGCGCTCCTGTGAACGCCGTAGCGATGAAGTGTAGATGCGCGCTGGGGTAGACGCTCACGCGAGCACAAGTCTATATTGATTGAATTGAGTTGTATGCGCTTATCTATGATGCTTTAATGAAGGTCTAAGCGCAGTAATAGGTTTAATTACTTATTTAAGCACGAGGAGTTAATTTGGATAAGTCTCTGCCGCCTATTTATTGAATTTGTTTTCGAAGTATGTATGTGGAGAAGCTGTCCCATGAATGGTAGTGAAACCTAGATTTTCATTAGTTACTTTGTGCTTTAAACCATAATTTTTTGCGTGTGTACATAAGTTTAGTTGAACCCTGATCGCACAACTTTAGATTGAACCCTGATCGTTTAATTAAACCCTAAACTTTCTTACTAAATTGTTGCTATAGAACGGTAGTGCAAATAGAGAAGAGCTGTTGAACTGAAATAGAGCGTGGGCCCACTTGCGATTACGTGGGCTGCTTATGTAAGTAATGCCTCAACCCGACCTGATATTAAATAGAACTAGTTGAGGTGTGTGTGTGTATTGTTACACGGATCAGTTCCGCACGTACTGTTTAGTCTTATTATATCCAGCCGTAAAGCTCTTACGATTGATCGATACCGGATAAAAAGGTAACCGTTTCTGTCTCACGGTCACCTTTCTCTCGAAATGTGTCGTTTAGACTGGAAAACGCCCGCCAGTCTCCAATGTGACGATATTTTTGCTTTATTGAGTAATGGGAGAGGAATAATTTTTCTGCTCTTCGTGCTATCGGAGCATTGAAATAATTTAAGGTTATAAGTATCGTGTTTCTTTTTCAGTGTTTCATCTTGAGTTCTAACTCCATAACCTATGGCCCTCAGCGCTTGTGCTGCCGCTCAGATAACGGGCTGGAACAAGCGATGCTCGACGACTCTGTTGCTTGTTAGAACTAATTAAGCTTGGAGACGCAGTTATTAACTGTTCTACTCAAAGCTTTAGACTCCATGCTTCTCAGAAGCACTGCGCTAGGCTGCCGGAGTGGCGGGCGCTTGGCTGTCCAGAGCGCCACGCTCGGCTGCCGGAGTGGCGGGCGCTTGGCTGTCCAGAGCGCCACGCTCGGCTGCCGGATTGGCGGGCGTTTGGCTGTCCAGAGCGCCACGCTCGGCTGCCGTAGTGGCGGGCGCTTGGCTGTCCAGAGCGCCACGCTCGGCTGCCGGAGTGGCGGGCGCGAGGTCGCGTTGCTGTCCAGAGCGCCGCCTTTCTATGTACTGTGGGCCGTCGTGGCAATGCGAGTCTAGTCCTATGTTCAAATATATAAACCTATTTTTCTACCTTAAGAGTATCATGTGATAGTAAAATAAGACTCATTGCTCTCAATAGGCTCTTTTTAGTGATGTGAGAAGCTGCTAATGATGTATGGGCTTTTTTAATTGTCTTGCTGTATAGGACTAACACATTATATGCATGGCGCAAGATAATTGATGTGTTAATTGACCAGATATGCCGAATCAAAAGTTTCCATATTATGGTCTTAAATTAGATCTGGAGGTTGTTTTCTGCTAGGTTGTGCAAAGAGCCTATAGTGAGATCATAAATGTTTCTTACATTAATTAAGGACTAAATAAATCGTTAATTCTCCTTCGAAATTTTCTAATCAACCTTTCTTTCATGATCGTACCGCTTTCGTAATCTTCATGTTTTTATTCGATTATACGGTCACCTGTCCCTCCTTGTCACTTCGTTTCTGAGATGCTAACGCTGTTTCCTTCAGCCAGCTTCAGCGGGCTGGACAATTAAGACCTTCCGCCCCTTGTGGGTGATGATTAAATTGAGATTTTGAATAACTGAGACCTTCCGCCTTGCTGGCGATCTTATATTTTGACCTCCGGTGCGAAATAGCTTGATAGCTGAAGCGATAGCAAACCATTCTACTACTACTACTACTACTATGCGGTCGGCATACTCTTATTAAGTGCCTTTCCTCTGCTTCGAGGATGCAACCAAAGACGAATTGGGATAATTTACGTCGCTCGCATACTGATCCTTGAATAAAAAAAAATTAAAGGATCGGCTAGACAAAATCCAGCTCAATAGGACTAGACGACCATCAAAACTGAGCCGCTGCTACATGAGCGAGCGCCATCTTGGTGTGATGGAAGGATAAGAGGAGGGACTGCACTAACATG